TGAAAACTTAAAACAATCTAGAAATGGCATGAAGGGTGTGATGTTAATGGGGTTTGACCTGCGAGTGTTTGCAACGGAGTTGGCAAAGGAAAAGGGCATGTGAATGGTGATTATCTTGTTCACAATTTTATGTAAAGTGCCGATACGCTCGCAAGTACGTCTGTGTTCAAGTGATTTGAGTGATAGACGTACAGCGTGTGACGAAGGCGAAAAATTGTGATCATAACGGTGATATATGAATCTTATTGCTTTGCGGTGCAGTCAGCCGTCAGAGAATACAAATAACTTTTCTTTTTCGTACCGCATAAAATCTGGCTGTCTTGAACTGTTCAGAGAATAGACAGGTGGGCAGTTCTAGATTTTTTTTTCTTTTGTAGTATTTTTGAGAGCACCCTACAGATACGATCAAATGCGTTTGTACTTAGTTACAATTGAGAAAAGAAAATAATTGTGTTTGAAAGGTGCTGTCGACATTTCGATAAAATAGGAAACAAGATCTTACTTTGCGAAGTTAGCAAATTTTATGATCTTGAATTTATGAATTATTGGAAAATCCTGCAATACTGTCTTATATTACTTGAAATGATGTTAATGCATCTCTTTTTCGCTCATTTGTTAAAAATGACAGAGTGAGTTTCATCTTGAGTGATTATTGAAGGATCAGCGTAGCTCCGGTCAAATCGCCACTGTAGTAAATTCTGATTTCACAATTGGTTGAGGTGAATGATTAAACAGACAACTTGATCAACGCTTGCAGCCTTATAAGATATGACGGTTTGAAACGAAGCCGTTGCCTTTGATCTTCGGATGGTTGTATAAGTTAGCTGCATAGAAAGGTCATACTGTTTTGTCGTAAATATAGAGCATCGATTTCGTTTGTAGGGTCAACTTTGTTCGAGACCCCGCGTTCGGCTTTATAAATGCTAGAGGGGAGTTGATAGTAGAGTTTGCCGAACGTGATACTTTACGAATCTTGAATACCTTCTACAGAAACCGGGTTAACCGTAAGTAGACGTGGCGAAGTCTATGTGGGCAAACTAAAAATGAAACAGACTTCAATTTTTGTGCACACCCAGTAATTGTGCAGGATGTAGAAGTAGTTGGCAAGATACGATGTAGTGGAAATGGTAAGAGCTCGTAATCACGAAGATTTAAAAAAATCAAAGGCATGAACTGATGCACAAGCAGCCGCTTAGTGAACCAGTGGCGAGAGGGAAAGGACAAAAATTTCGAGTATCGCTTCAGCATAGATTTGTGGCTCTAAATGAGGTAACCGTCGTTAGCGTTGGCACAAAAAACGATGTAATCTTGCTAGTATCATCAAATAATGTCCAATGGAAGTCGGAGGTAATGTCACTAGGCAGGACACTAGCAAACTGTTTCAGGAGAAGAAAAAATCTTAAGAGGTGAAAAACTATGAAAGCCTCAAATGCAACCGGCAATATAAAACGAATATATAGAGCTTTAAAAGTTAAACAATAGGCGCAAGGTAGCCGACATCAGAAGTTATAATATAGAGAATCGAGCAGGCTGTAAAAAGTGGCAGAAGCCTAAAAGCTGCGAAGTTAGACCTGTGCATAGGCGAAAATTGGATTTTTAGGGGTCAAAGAAGGCAATATGTCATAACCAATATAAATAGGATAGTTGAGGTAGAGAAGGGAGTTCTACAGAGAGCTGTTCAAAAGCCAAACAGTCAGAATGATATCGTAAAAAGCAATAATAGCCCAGACGAATTTGACATCCTACCAGTAACAACAGGGGAACTAAGGAAAGCCCAAGAAAGAATGCAAAGAGGCAAAGCCGCTGGTGAGGATAAGGTGACAACGGGCCTGCTGAAAGATGGCGGAGGAATTGTGTTAGAAAAACTGGCCACCTTATATACGAAGTGTCACTTGACGGGAATGTTACCAAATTCTTAGAAAAACGGCAACATCATCTTAATCCATAAAAAAAGAGACGTCAAGGACTTGAAAAATTACAGGCCAATCAGCTTACTGTCCATTGTCTGCAAACTATTTACAAAATTAATAGCTAATAGAATATAGGCGACATTAGAGTTCAGTCAACCAAGGGACCAAGTAGGATTTCGTACAGGCTACTCCTCAAGAGAAAATATTCATACTATCAATCAGGTAATAAATAAATGCGCGGAATACAACCAGCCTTATACATACCCTTCATATAGATTACGAAAATGCGTTGGAATCAGTCGAGGCGTCAGCGATGCAGGAACTACGGGATCAAGGCATCGAAGAACCTACATAAACACACTGGAAAAAATCTACAGTGGATCCGCAGCTATACCATAGTTCTCCATAAAGAAAGTATACACAATCCCCAAAAAGAAGAATATAAGGCAAGGAGACACGATCTCTCCAATGCTATTCACCGCATGTTTACAGGAGGTTTTCAGGGTCCTAGATTGCGAAATGTTAGGGATGAGAGCTAATGGAGAGTATATTAGTAACCTTCGATTGGCTGATGACATTGTCTTGATGAGTAACTCAGGGAACGAATTACAGCTCATGTATATAGAAATGGACAGCGGAAAGCAGAACAGTAGGCCTGAAAATTAATATGCACAAAGCTAAAGTAATGTGCAACAGTATATATGGTCAGAAAACAGCACTTTGAGATAGGTAAAGAGACGCTGGAAGTTGTAAATGAATATGTCTTCTAAGACAGGCATAGTAACTGCGCAGCCGAACCATGAGAGTGAAATAACTAGAAGATAAAGGATGGGGTGGATCATATTTGGCAAGCATTCTCAAATAATGAATGGTAACCTGCCACTAACCCTGAAAGAGGAAGGTTCAAAACAGGTGCATCTTGCCAGTACTTATTTAAGGAGCAGAAACCTGAAGGCTTAGAGAGAGGGTTCAGCTTAAATTGAGGACAACGCAGCGAGTGATGACGAGGAAAATGATAGGTGTAACCTTAAGGGACAAGAATAGAGGAGAGTGGGTTAGGGAACAAACCGGGCTCAAGGATATCATAGTTGAAATCAAGGAAGAAGAAATGGACATGTGCCGGGCACGAAGCACCATAGGCAGTATAACCGCTTGGTCATTAAGGGTAACTGATTGGATTCCTAGAGAAGGCAAACACACGAAGGGGAGGCAGAAAGTTAGGTGGGCCGATGAGATTAAAACGTTCGCCGATATAACTAGGCAGCAGATAGCACAAGACCGGGTGGATTGGCGGATGATGGGAGAGGCCTTTGCCCTGGAGTGACAATAGTCAGACTGATAAAGATGATATATTCCTTGGCTTCGTTATCTGTTGGTTTTCATGCAACATTGGGGCACCAACCAAGGTAATCAAGTACATCAACCAAGTGTTCGACTGTTTCATTCATAAGTTCATTCCCAACCAGACACAATGTGCAATCTCCTCCTTTAAATCTGACAATGCTTTCGAGACAGTGAGCCGTCAATGCCGATAATTCGTTGGGCGCACCCTGAAGTTGTTCTTTTTCCTTTTTTTTTTGCACTTTTATACTGTAACTTCTGCCCTGAATTTTCGGTAGATTACAGATGCTTCTATGGTGACAGTTTGCATGTTAGTATATATGTGTTGTGCAAATGTAGTACGTTTGCTAGCACTTGCTGTGGGCGCGTAGATTATTCATTCAATGCGCAAATATATCTGCCGATATATCTACATACCTATTAACTTATAGTAGCAGTGGTTATGCGAAATCTAGGAGGCTGTATACAAATAAATCTTTGTTATAAATGTCCGTATTTCTACTTTTTTTTTGCAAGTCTCTGCGTGTAAATCTAAACGAAGATCTCGTAAACGAGTTCTGGGCTCAGTCAACTTCGCGGCCGCTGCCATGAGCCCTGGATATGGTTCCAGTATATTCCAAGATAACAAAAAGAAGGCAAAGTGAAGTTTCGTACAGTCTTGAGCGATGTCAGAGAGAACGCTAAAATTATTTTCTAAATTTCATAGCTGTTAAAAGCAGTTTTTAAGCGCTAAAGTTTGCGTATCACTGAATGTTCAAGCGGAAATGTATACTGTTGGAATTATTTGTGTTGCATTCATATTGGTCTATTACAAGTTAATGTCGAAGCGTATCATTCCGAAAGCATGCATTTAAACTTAAATGCGGGACAGTCACGTTGTCTCAAGAAAGAAGAAGAGAAAGAAGGAAAGATGAATTGGTTAGGAACGAATAAATTCTTCAGTATCGTCCGATTGAAGGCATTCTGTAAAATATAGAAAAGTAAGAGGAGATGGGGCAGTAAATTCTAGTATTGTTAATTAATACATCTGAACGCGCGGCTTCAGGAAGTACACAGATGGATTAGTAATGGAACATCTCCGAGCCTCTCTTTATTACTGCCACCATTTGTGTGTGTGCGTTTTTTTTCCCGGCCGTACAAACGTTCATGTACAAACTAAAAAGTGAGATATTCTCGTTTGTACGGCATTTTAGTTTTACCTATTTGTTATCTTCCTCTGTGCAACAAATTAGTAATACGAAAAAATCGTCGAAAAAGTGGAATCAAACTTCGAAAAATGTGAAAAAAAAAAGAAATGGTTTTTGTTGCGAGAAAATTCTCTGTGGTCACTTAGGTTCTAAACTAAACTATATTCTATCTGAGATGGCCTGGTCACCAGACGTTTATTGGCCATGCTCTCAGCTGGGCAATACGTTATGCGTCAAGATAATTGTACCGGAGCTCTGGCAGCCCACGGCTGCACGCCTTTGAACTAGGATTATGTGCCGCCACAGCAGTCTCATCTCGGCGAACGGCGTTATTTTCTTTATTTTCTTTTCATCCGAGGCGGGCTCTCACTCGCTTTCACGAGCGTCGTTCCGCACAAGGCAAATAAACACGAAGCAGGCGAGAGGTGAGAAAGAAGCAGGGCCTTGTTCAGCCACCGCCATACCAAAAGCGTCAGACTTCCGCGCTTGCCTCGGTGTTTTAATTTTATGCGTTGTTTCCCGGAGGGCTGCCTTACGACATAGTAAAGTAAAGCTTATAAATATGAATGCAACCCCACAGCTTGGTCAAGGAGGGAGACACCAGGGGGGTGCCTTGCGAACGGCGCAGAAGGTTGCGGATGCCCTTGCCGGCGTTTTTCCTTTCTACGAGGGCCGCCTTGGAGCGCACGCAGCCCTCAGGGCTGAAGTTCAGCCGCAGCAAGCCGATGGCTTCCGAACGTCGGCCCTGCTGCTGGCTCGGGTAACAACAAGGACTGACACGTGACCACTCCGTCTCTCGCTCGCCACGCTCTCGCCCACCACGTGGTCCCCGCCACGCCGTCTTCCCTCTCCCCGCCATCTGAGAGGCACCGCGAGCAGGAGCGAAACACACAACGCCGAGCGTCCCGTTGCCGTGCGCTGGTGAACAACGTGAGCGCGCAGAGCAGCAGCTGGTGTTGGTGACTCGAGGTTGTGCGCTTCCTCGATCGGGGGCAGCTGACGACTCACTCACTGGTGTGTCCGTCCACGCTCTTGGCTCTACCTGACAAGCAGAGCCGTGGTGTGTGCGGCGTGTGTGTGCGTGCATAGGGTAGACATAGTACGCAGGTCAGTAGCCGCTGCTAGGCGATGCCCGGTCCCGAGATCGAGAAAATGACGCGCTGCTGCGGCCAGCGCGCGTCGAGACCGGACATGGCACTGGTCAAGGCGGCCGTTGGCTGTCCTGGCCGGACTCTTCCTCGCACTGTCCGGCCTGGCCACGTACGTCTTCTTCCCCGCCATATTCAGGACGCAGGTTGAGATGGTGAGTTGACCTCTCCTGTCAAACTGCTTCATTTTTTGCTCTCTGGCACATACGACCTGCGATTGATCAAAAAAAAAAAAATCGTGCTTGGGAAATGAAGACGGGGCATTAATTTTTCTCTATATTAAGGTTGAGTGAAAGCTTACTTTTGTCATCTTCTTACTGACAGCTGTGATACGTTGTTTATAGAAGTGCGCGCTGTATGGGATCTGCTGTGAGGCTGTATCTTTGGTGTGTCAACAGACTGACACTTCAGTCGGCACCGTACATGCAGCCACCGCGCATGGCCCTTAAAATTCTCTAGAAGTAGTCGAAGAAAGGTCATGATACAAGTCCAAGTTCACTAAAGGCATTTTTTTTTTACGCTAGTAAGAGTTCGTGAGTAACATCAACACCAAACAAGTCACTTGGGATAGTGTCGCACACGGAGAAAATTTTATTCGGTGCGCGTTGCGCCTGCCGGTTCTTGCCGATCCGGGCGTGGAGGTTCTTGACTCTTGGCGAAATGATCGTCGCCCAAAGGCGAGGAGAGCCTTGGAGGGAAAAGTCTCGCTCGAGCGCTGGCGTCCTTCCTTTCTTCCGGGAGCGCTTTTCGTCCGACCGCGCTGCGCTCCTGTGGCTACACCCCGAGTCAATTCGCGTGCTTCGCGTTGTTTTTGCTCGATTAGTAGCGTGTTCCTGGTAAGCAGCGTGCGCACTTGTGTGGCTTGCAGGTCCCCCCCACCCTTCGGTTCTAGGGCTCTCTGGCGCCCAGCGGCATTTTCGCCTCTCCTTTTTCTCTTGTATTCGCACTACCAGGGCCCCGCCGGGGCTTTTCCCCCTGGATCGCTATTGCGACACCAAGGTTGCCGCTGCGAAACGTCGCTTGCAGTAGTAGCGAGTGTTTGTGGGCTGTAACCGCGGCGCGCGGCCTTCTCAAGCCGTGTTTTCATTTCTTTCGCGTAGCCCGCTGCACACAATTCGAGCCTAGCGCGCTTCGCTGAATGGACTGAGGTCACACCGCGCGCGTCACGATCGGGCTTCCGCTTGAGCACGTGGCTTCATTTCTGACTTTTTTTCTTTGTTGCAGCACGTGAAAAAGAAAAGGGAAATAATTGTGATGTCGCAGTCTCTAGTAAAGGACTTTTACGAACATTTATATCTGCTTGTGAATTTGTCGAAAGGCAAGGCTAGAAAGAAACGCACAGAAAGTTTATTCAGTAACTGCGTGCCAAGGGCAGTCATAACCGCACCTATAAAATTTCTGAATTTCGTCACAATAATGCGGACGTACAACGGGGTCGAAGACTAGAATGGCCGTGGAGCTGCTAGAATACACTGTTACTAGGTCATTACACCAAGTACAAACTCTGTTGTACACGGTGTTGATCGTATACACGCAGTGATTGAGTGCACACGAGTACCGTATTCGTTAAGTGTATCGCACAGTAAGCATTCCTGGCATCTACAACTCATTCTGTATTCTGACGGAACCTTCTTGCCTCTCCTATATTGCTATCCATCCCTTTCCACAAGGCTATAGGGTAGCACGCCCCGCCGCGGTGGTCTAGTGGCTAAGGTACTCGGCTGCTGACCCGCAGTTCGCGGGTTCGATTCCCGGCTGCGGCGGCTGCATTTCCGATGGAGGCGGAAATGTTGTAGGCCCGTGTGCTCAGATTTGGGTGCGCGTTAAAGAACCCAGGTGGTCCGAACTTACGGAGCCCTTCGCTACGGTGTCTCTCAGAATCATGTGGTGGTTTTGGGACGTTAAACCCCACATACCAATCAATCATATAGGGTAGCAAACTGGACACGCCTGATTGTCCTCTTCAGCCTATTCTCTTCCTCGATGCATGATCGCTATGTTCTGCATAGCAAGATACGTGGACCCCTAGCGTAATATCATTTGGGGGGGGGGGGGGGGGTGGTGGGGCGGGGGAAACCGCTTGTCTTTGTGCGTGCAGTTATGTGTGCTTATATATACAGATGGAAGGTGTGCACACTCCCCCACTTCACTTTCCATTCTAACTTCGCCAGGGAAGTATACATATATGAACATATGAAATGTGTATTAAGAAAACACGGGAATCTTGCGCGTTTGCTCTCACTTGTGCTGAAGCGCTTCGTAAGATCGAAATGTTCTTAGCTGGTATGGCATCGAATTCGACGTTCACGGCTGTCAATCATTTCAGTTTCCAAATCTCCACCATAACGTTTCCCGTCAGGTTTCCAAGAGACGAATTACCCCTTGTGTGCCTGTCGTGTACAGCAGTATGCTCACAGGACGGTGTGAAAACCACTGACAAATGTATAGTTAGCGTCAATGGTGTCAAGGTTATACCACCGCGCGGTTTTCCTCAGAGCTGTACGGTTACAATCGATGAAATTCGCACTTACGCCTCCCTCGAGAGTTTCCGCAATGAGCGCTTGCTTAATCGAGTCACGAGCGATTTCGAAAACGAGCGCGGTGCTTCCTCGCCGGCTGCGACAAGAACTGAACGCACGTGTCGACAACCAGCATTCGGCTGTCAACACGTCAAATATTGCCTATGCTGTTTTGAAGCTGAGAAACTTGTACAACGAAACAAGTAAACAGGATACGACTTCCAAACCTAATTGTTTTATTATCGTATGCAGCATTTTGTAGGAAGCATACCTGCCACCTACAAATTCGTTACAGCAAAAGTTATATAAACGTTAACATTAGTTATATACGTCACATTAAAAAAAATTACAGCATATCCACGGGAGTGAATGACGATGAGTGGGGTGAAACGTCCGTCAGTCTGTCCGTGCTTTTGTCCGTCCGTTCATTCACGCTTGCGTCCGTCCGTGTGTCCGTCCGTCCGCCCGTCTGTCTATCTGTCTAGTGAACACTCCAAATACCGACATCTCGCATTTTTTCATCATACATTCATTATATAAAAGAACCGCCATCCAGCGGACATTCTAAGGGCTAAACGAGATGTGGCTGCTACGACGACGACACGGGACTTACGATCCATGACGTAAGGAGCGTCGCCACTTAATCTGTGAAGGGAAGAATCTAATGCGAATATAGCAATTAGAAAAATGGTATCTTTGGATACTTAACCGAATAATTTGTCTTCGAAACATACAGAGAGAGAGAGAGAGAGAGAACTAAGGGGTGTCTAGAATCTAGTGCATATTTCCGGCCTTTCCAACTTAATTGCATTTACGTCTGTATGACTATAAAATGTGGCAGGGCGAACAAGTGGCAGGTGGGAAAATTAAAAAGCACTTTTGCGTCATTACCGGTCTTATTTGATGCGAAAATGTTTGCGCATACTCATTCCAAAGAAAAGTAACATTCACGCGTGGGTGGGTGATGTGTAGTTAGCTCTCTTATGTAATTGAATTAAAACCAGGGGTATTGAAGTTAGTAGGAAACGGAAATGGAGTGGAAAGGACTTACGCGAGCGCACACGTACACAGGGTGCATTGAGCAATTGAAACCTGTCGCGTATGGCTCAGTGGTCTTGAAAAAAGTGCAGTGGTGTCGTAAAGTCTTTGAAGCAGCCAAGGAAATAATTAAGCGTTTGTGAATCCACTCTGAGTGTTGGGACGGGAACAATTATCTTGTATATGTATTTGGAATTTTTTCATCAAAACAATTACACTCGAAAAGCATCGATTGTTTCTTTCTGTAATAATGCGCAACTTTTCGCGCACCTTGGCTCAAGCTTTACAGGCGTACCGTTTAACCGCTGAACAAATCGAAGAGTGAGTAAACGTCAGAATGGTAATGTCTTAAATGTGACGCGTGTATGTAGTATCGCGCTTTTATATACGGGGATTTTATTGCTCATTTGTATGAAGTAAGAATGCTGACACTTTTGACAGATAGCTCTTTATGACGCTTGAAACTGTGGCAAATATACATGCCGCGATTTTTAGGTTTCCTATTCAAGCACCAGGGGTATCCGTGAACGTGCGCGTTATTTTTTTTTTTTGTATGGCTTAAATATGTTTATCTCCAGGACGCCATTCGATATGACAGCCCCCGGTGGTCAGATCTGGCCAATCTGACCTTCAGAGGCTGTCGTAAGACGTTGCAGATGCAAGTGGTCAGATTTCAAGGAGCAGTTTGGCAAACAAGCCCCGCGTGATATATTGAAGCGTGCGATGGTCTATCACACGGCTGATGTCTGTATGCGTGGCTAGTTCCATGGCTTCACTTCTGGGAACTCAGAGACGCGATTTGTTCAGCCACCGAAAAAATCGATAGCGGTCCATTTCGTCCAAACTTACCTTGCTTACCTTGCCGCACGTTTGCACAGCTGCAGGTTTGTAAGGAGTTCCGGTGGTGACATAGAGTTATGGAAAGATACTACTTAATCTTATCTTTATTCCTTGACGACTTGTAATACGAATATATCTGCAGAAAGTTAGCTCTGGGTTTCAGATTCATTTTGCTAATCAGCATTAAAAAAAACTTGGTGGGACGGGGGGGGGGGGAGGGGGGAAGAAGACGCGTAGGGGTGTAAAGGACACGAAAAAAAAATTCGGCAGATCCCACGTACCCTGAGAATTGATGTCATGCGAAGCATGTGGATGGATGGTGAATGTGTTATTTTTTTTATTGAGTGAGACATATATATATATATATATATATATATATATATATATATATATATATATATATATATATATATATATATATATATATATATATATATATATATATATATATATATACGAATCCACGCACAGACATACGTTAAACAGCCGCGTATGTTTTATATTAGCAGTTGTCTAAAGTTGCGTAACAACGTGAACAGCAACATGGATATTAGCAGCACCAGAAGCGGTAAGCTGGTATGAAGCGCTGGTGTTTGCGCTGGTGCACGCAAGAATGGTAGCCCTCAACGCAGCTACACAAATTAACTTCAGCGGATGGCGCCTAACTACAATTTACGTTAACCCGACATGACGGCTATATCATAGGAGTATATATGTAATGTTTTTAAAATGGGATAGCCGGTACTGCAGTCACAATT